TGCAATGGTTATCATGGAATACAAGTTCATGGTAGCCTCAATCAACCGTATTTTGGTCTAGCCCTCAATGAATTAGGGTTTAGGTGTAAATCTTAATTGTTTTACTGTAGATCATCAAATTGCAAGCTTTGGCTTTTTGCAGTAGAAGGTAAACACTTGACCAGGCAGTGCCTGTGTCTGCTCAGTACTTTGCCAAATAGAGTCTGTGTGGATCAGAACAGAAATACATCAGGGGGATTTGCTCCATCACTGTCCTTAGTCTGGTCTCTGAGTCGGGGCTGAGCTGTGTTTTTCAGGTGATTCAAACTGATTCTGGACCAGCTTCAGAGGCAGAAATTATCAAGATGACAATGAGAAAGGATTATTTTTGCTTGGAAGGCAAAAAATGAGAAACAACTGGGCATATAGTCCTCAGATGTCAGCCAGAGATCTGGAAAGACCAGTGTGGACCCAGTTTTGTTAGTTGATAGGTTTCAATAAGTTATTGTTTCAGAGAAAATACAGTGTTTTGCTTTTTTGTTTCTTCGTGTTTTTCTCCAAAGAGTCTCTTCTTGCTGAGCATGTGAGACCTTCTTCATATCTAGAAGTTTCAAAGCTGCAAATCTTCATGTCTAAACAACTGTGTCAGTCAAGGGAGGAGACAATCACTCTGCTGCAATTCATTTGTTGACTGGCAGATAACTTGAGGCATGAGCCTGATCCAGCAAAAGCTGAAGTGCACTTAAAAATTTAAAGGTTAGACTGTAAGTGAGAACGGTGCTTAGTGCATGAGGCAGGATGTTTTTCTCAGCTCGTACTTGGACTCAGAAGGCATCAGGCAGCCAGTGGCAAAAATGTTATGAGCCTGACAAGCTTGTACTGATGTAGATGTCTGTTAAGGCTTTGAACAATTTTTTATTTGTATACTTAAAAGTGTAATAATGAAATGCCCAAATCTCCTTGGAAAGTGTAAGAGGAAGTTTTGGGTCAGAGAAGGGTAACACCTTGCAAGTGCATCTGCAATAGCACAGATTCTATCAGAGCCAGAAGCCAGGCTAGAGCCTGGGAGGCATCACTTCTCCTTATGGCTCTGCTGTAGTTTCCCAGCATAGCCATGATGGACTCACTTAATTTCTGTCTAATTACTTGGATGCACAATATACAAGAGTTATATTGCTTAGAGTGGAATGTTACCAGGGCTGACAGTGTCATCTCTGGTGGTTGCATCGGGTGATGCCCTGGCACAGGAGCAGGCACGAGTGCTGAGAGAAGAGCTCAGAGCTGCGGTTTCACGGCATGTTGCGCCGTCGTATCTGAAATAACCGAGCTGGCTCGTGTCTCTCACTGCTCAGCCCCTTTGTAGGTTGACTCACGGTCTTCACAGCTGTTACAAAGAAGGAACAAGTAGCTGGTGCAACAAGGAGTGTTTATTTTCTCTGCTAAATGTATGGTAATGGGTAGAGATTTCTCATTGTAAGAGCTGAAGGCAGGCTGTGTCGCAGTGTGAGGAGGGGCAGGATGTGATTCCCTACCTCCAAACATACCTGCCTCAGGCTGCCTCCATGGGGAGACTTGCCATTGGAAGGCAAGTCCCTTCACCTACCTTGAAGTATAAATTGCTTTCTGGAGGTGCCTTGATGTCTCTCTGTTGACAGAACTCAGTGCAGTCACTCTTACAACTTGAAGTACATCCAAGTACTTCCAAGTACATCCAAGTGTTCAGGCTAATGCCAGGTGAAAGTCAACCAAAATACCAATCTCGGTGCTGAACAGTAATCAATATTAATGAGCCTTTTGCCCATCTTATCCCTTATTCAAAGCCAGATTAAATCAGTCAGGAGAGGGTGAGTGCTCAGGGTGGGATGTGTCCTCCACCAGCCCATGGTTAACTGGTAACCCAGAGCCCCATTCCCCTGTGGCTGCTGCTGCATCCATGCAGACCAGGGAACGGTCCCTTCTCCAGATAGCTGCCCACATAGCTGTCTGATGCTGAAGGTGGTCAGCAGTGGGTGGCAGTGATATGCTCCCTCTGAACATGGACTTTCCTACCTCCTCACATGCCTTGCCCAGCTCTAAGCAAGTGAAATCTGTCTGGCTTGCAAAGCTTTGTGGTTGAGGAAGATCCCCAAGGAGCATTTCAGGGACACCCTGCTTAAAGGGAGTGTGAGCTCCTTTTTTACTCCCTAAAATGAAGACCTGTTTCTTCCACATGTCATCTAGAATCATACGCTGCTCAGGACACAGATTTTAGTCTTTGCTTCCCTCTGTGCCGGAGGGAGACTTCCAGCAATGCCAATAATAATAATACAGTAACAGCTTTCCCTTCTGCATCCGAGGGAATACTCTCCCGTGAGTGCAGTGGGAACAGCGTCGGGTCCTGTGGCTGTGTGTGGGAAAGAGGAAAGCACAGTGGCAGAATAAATAACTAAAGCTGTGAAGGAGAAAAGCCCATCTGTTCGCAGAGGACCAGGAAAAGGCCAAACATCTGCAAGGTCCCCCCAGTTCATCAGGCGTCTGCTCTCTGCTTCCCAATCTAAAAACCTTCCCATTTGTGGGGAGAGTGGAGCCAGCAGCTTATCTAACATGGGACATAGTCAGAAGAGCTGGTCTGGGATGCAGTAAAGCCAGCTGTCTCCTACTGCAAAGAAGAGTGTTTTCTTCCAAGCTCCAGGAAAGGACTCTTCTCTTTTTCTGTCCTTTTCCCAAGGACAGAAAAATCTTGCCATTGTGTTTTTTCTTCCAGGAGGAATGGATCTTGCGAAGGGGCAAAATGGTATTTGGTTTGTGTTTGTTTTAACAGTCATTGTTTTCCCCTTCTGTTATAGCAATTGTTATTTTTCCCTTCTGTTTATGCACAAAACCTGCCCTTTTCCCTCTCTCATCCCCTCCAACACATTCTCTACCTTGATTTTTCTTAGATGTTTTGAAGGGTTGTAATAAAGCAAGAGTGTCTGACTAATGTGCTGTGCAGGGAGATCAGTCTTTGGCATCAGAGCCAGGACTAACTGGAGAAACATCATCTGAAGCATATTTTTTGGGAAGTATGTGTCCCCTGGAGTTGAATTTGTTTGCAAAATCGCGTTGGCTGGTTGGAGGGTCATTTTCAGAGCAAAGGAGAAAAGTTTACTTAGCACTCAAACATCCCAGCATTTTTTAGAACTAAACACTTAGATATTAATTTCAAAATCTTTCTACTTTTCTTTTTACTCTTTATTGTATTTCGCATGATTTGAAATAAAAGATTGGATTAATTACAGGGCATAGACAAAGATACTGCAGATGTAATTGGACATAATTTTTAAAAAAATCAATCCTGAACTCTATAATAGACATGAGCCAGTAGGTTTCATGGGATTTTATGTATTGGAGCAACATGGTTGTCTTAAATTAGTTTTCAGTGTGTTGTTTTCAAACTGTCTTTGAGCATCTGTATTTAGGATGATACTTTCCTAGGGATTCACAGGGGGTTTTTTTGAGTCCCATTCATGCTCATTTTGGGGAAAATGGGAAGAAATTACTTTCCTGGGAAATAACATCCCTGAAAGTCCTAGGGGGAGTTTGTGTCTTTCATAGAGTGATTTGAAATAGAACAGAAAAACTTTCCAGGGCTGCAGACCCATCTGTTTCCCATGGCAGATTGCATGGAGGTGCTGTGCTGGTGGTGCTGCTCAGCTGGTGCCCATGACTGGGGTGGACTGAGCCCAGGGCTTTGAACCTGGGCACAGGTGGCCCAGACTGCAGGTCACAGGGGTTTGGCTCAGCACCTCTCTGACCTGAGCCTGCTCCATGGTATTTAGGGATGGTGCTCAGGGTCTCTAGCCGGGAGGCTGCATGGAGGTAGGGAGGGTCAAGCAGGGAGCTCATATTTCCTTCCAAAAGGGTTAAAATCCTCCAAAAGCAACAGTTCCTATAGATGTGAAATATCACACTTTTGTTAATCTGAAACTTCCATGCCAGGTGCTGCACATAGGAGAGCCAACTGCAAACAGCTCTACTTTGCAGCATCAAGCTTCATAAGGAGAAATAAAAACATACCAAAGTGGTCCAAATTGCAGGCAGCTGCTTTCCCAGGAGACAAATCCAGTATTAATGGCAAACGCTCTTTTTGCACCCTTAGGAGGTGCTTTGAGAGCCTGGTAGTGTGGTGTGCTCTTTTCCTGTTTTCTTTCTCTTTTGTGCTCCCATGTCGCATGAAGTTCTCAAGGATAACTTCTCTCTGCTCCCATCTCCCATTTCTTCTAAGCTGGATGGCTTCACAGCCAGTATTCTGCTTTGTCATCCCATTGGCACTTTTAGAAGTTTAAGATGAGCAAATGGAAGCCCCCTTGTAAAAATCCTCCCAAGTTAAAAGAGGTGCATGCTTCTGTGCTTGCAACTGGCCCGTCATGTGGCTGTTGTCACTGAGAAGACCCTGTGATCTTCCCAGAAGTTCTTTACATGAAGCTATGAAGTCCCAATAGGAAGAGGGAGCTGCGAAGTGTGGCTGCCTGCCAGCAGCAGGGATGCAGGAGATGGGCAGGTCTAGATTTTGGGTTCCTGCTCCAGCCCTCTGTGTGTCCTCTGCAGCAGGGAATCCCTGCTTTTAGGTAGCACCTGATGCTGTCTTTATAGGGATCAAGAAGAGCTGGCATAGTTTAGCACACAATGGGAGTGAATTGGATGATATCCATTGCAAGGTTAGACATGGGATGTTCATAGTTGCAAATTTTGTAGTTGCCTATGGCAGATTTGAAATGCAGCTTTGATCTGTGGAACCACTTGTTGGTGCCTTCAGGCTTTGTAGCATGTCACCTTTTGCTGTGGAGTCTGAGCAATCTGCCAGTGTTAATGAGCTGTCATAGCCATCTCCTGAAGCAGGGGTGGAGGGTGCAGCTGAAGATTTAATGGTTAAACAATGTGTTTTGTCCTGTGTCATGAAATCAATTGGCAGAGCTTGGAGTAGAGCAGGGTTCGTCCTGATCATCCATGTCATGATATGGGGAAATGCTGGTGAGCCTAAATTCTCCCATTCTCTCTCCTAGGGGACTTTCTTCCTCCCCCACCACCTCCTGTGGATGACCTCGGGAATATCACATCATCACAAGGTGCCTTTCCTCCCCCACCCCCTCTGGATGATGTTACTTACAATGTGCAGGTAAGAAGACAAGAATTTTATCTTTCGTGCACAACTGACACAAAAATTGTGGAAATGAATGAATGCTAATAAAATGAGGTGGCAGAGTTCTGTGGTTAAAAATCATGTGTCAGGAATAACCAAGTCAACTTTAGCAAGCTGTGTTTCTCAAGCAGGGAATATTTCCATTCAAAACTTGCTGGGCTATTAAAGGATTTTTCCCATCCGGCTTGAATTAGAAGACTAATTGCTTTGTGTCCTTGTGATGGTGGATGGGAGCGAAGCCTTCCCAGAATGAATTGTTTTCTGGAATGGCCATCTCCTTCCATGGACTGTGGAGAGACTTCAGGGCAGTAATCTGATCCTAAAAGTGCTTTGTTTCGGTGCCTAAAATTAAGTGAAGAAAATAAGCCCTGGCCCAGGCTTCAGTGATGTCACTGAGACCCTTTTCACCCCCTCTTTGCTGGATTGGATCTTCTAGATTTGCCATCTGGATGAAAATGCAACTTCTAAGATGCATCAGGTGATGATGGCATGTCCAAAGTGGGTGTGGACATACCCTGAACACCTTTGAAAGGTATGAGCACTTTTTTGCAGACATTGCAAGCTTGCCTGGCGTGCCAGCTACTGTTGTGTTTGCTCAGGCACATTCTGGAGAGATGCATTCAGACTGCAGGGACAGGCAGTCGAGGTGATCAAGGAGTAACAAACTGATCTTGCCAGGGGGGACTAGAAGAGTTTGGCTTGTTAGCTGAGCAAAAGGAAGGCTGAGGAAGGGGTATGGTTGGAAATTTGAAATACATTTGGGGATTAAGCTCTATGTGAGCTTAATCAGCTCTATGTGAGTGTTGGTGCAGAAACAGGAGAGACTGAGCTTGCCAGGAGTACCTTCATGCTGGTGTTTAGAAATTTTATAAGCACTGAGGCTCCAAAGGTCTGGAAGAGCCTTCTGTGAGGAGCAGTGAGAACAAAGAGAGCATGGTGTAGGTTTGAGGCTGGTGAGAGTTGTGTAAGCACATACCGACAGCCATGTGGCTGCCCTTGATGGCCCTGGAAGATTGTGGCTGTCCTGTGTCTCTCGGTGGGTTTGAACCTGAGAATAGGCCAGCAGGCAGACATGAAACAGGATTCAAGAGACCTGACTTAGTTCTTGACCCTCTCACAAACTCTTGAGTCAATTAATCTACTTTGTGCCTCAGTAAAAAGAAAACATTTCCCTCCCTCATGGGCTTGCTGTGATCTCTTGCCCATGGCAAGATGTTCAGATGGTATCACAAAGCCTCAGCCTGTTCCTGCAGTGGGTTCGGTGTTGGAAGCAGCCTTTGAGCAGGAAGGGGTTACTGTGAATTGTGTTCTCCCTTGCCAGGAAAGGCTGCAGCCGTCAGGGACATTCGCCAAGTGCAGAGCATGGCTTTTCCCAGCCTTGGGGGAATGAAGTAATTCCCCAGCAAGTGTTGTTCTGTCTTTTATCTCTCTGAGAAGAGTGGACCCCGTGGGAGCCGAGGAGCTTCCAGAGCACCCTGGGAAGACGTGGAACAGCAGGCTCCTGGCGAAGGCAGGGCACTGCCTGCATGGCTGCCTGCACAGGAGCCTGAGTAGTGGAAAGGGGTCGAGATGCCTCACGTAATTCCTCAGGGTCAGGCTTCCCTCTTGCCACGTTGCCCAAGGAGGAGCTGGTGTCTTCAGCTCCACATGCCTCCCTTCTGCCATAGGTCCAAAAGTGTGTCTGAGCCGCTCGGGGCTGTCACGGGCACGTGCCCCTTGGTAGAACCACCCGACAGGACGGCTCTTCCTGCTGAGCTCATGGAATTGCTCTTTATCACATCTCTCTCTCTGGCTTTGGGAAACTGAGGCTGGAGCTGCGTTCTATGTTGGGCTTTGGCAGGAGCGTGGTTAGAGCAAGATTCCTTTGCATGGTATCTTGTTAGGAGGAAGGTGAGCCTATGAGTTGTACCTGAGCACTCCTGCCTGTCACCACCCCAGGTGTACTCTTATGCAGCAAAAATGGCTCCCTGCCTTTAATCTGTCCTCTCTTGTCACCTATTCCCCTTTCTTTTCCCTTCCATCCTCTGTAGATCAGGAGCGGACAAAAGTCAGGGCTAAAGTCAGGAGCCAGCAGGGTTTTGTGTTGCAAGATCAGCTCCTTATCTTTCAAGAACAGCTAAAGCTGTGCTGAAGCAAGATGTAAAGCCCAAGAGAGGAGGAAAAGGGCAGCTGGTGATGGAGAAAGCTGTTCAGTGCCTTTGTGAACACAGTAATTTTCACAACTCTGGACAGACATTCTTGTGCTAAAGGAGCAGAACGAGTGGTGACTGTGTTCCTTCTACTGTGAATCCTTTCTTAGCTCTCAGGAAATGGTTACCTGAAATCAGGGATCTCATGAGCATGTGTTGTGTCGGGCTCCAACAGGCTGATTTTGCTCTCCAATGCCAGACCATTTCATTTCCATGCCTCAGTTTCCCCATTGCTGAATGTAAGTGCTGGAGCAGCAGACCCTCTTCCTGAGCATTGACCAGGCCTGAAACTGCTGTCTGGGGCACTTTGGCCCCTGTGGACCCGGTGAGAACCCTCCAGATCTACTCCAGAGTTTGAAATTTATCTGTTCCAGCAAATCAGCCATTTTATCTCAGAAGTTTCTCTCTGAATGGCACAGTGCCGATGACAGCTTATGAAATAAGGGTAAAGCTTTTTATACTAAGTGTTAAGTTGATGAGGACAGCAGAATATGCGTTTAGTTTATTATCATTTCGTGTGTTACTGTTAGCAGACGGCTAAAAGCTGCACAGATTATTGCAGTTTAAGTTGTAGCTTAAGAGCAGCAGTTAAAATAATAATGCCCAGTTTTCATAGCCTTGTTTATCTCTTGATCTCTATTTGGGCAGTGGAACTGGCCACTTAGGATCAGATCCAAAAAGGTACTTTAGTATCTCACTTATGCTCTGATGGAAATCAGAGGAGGGCTGGGTCATGAAATACCTTTGTGATAGATCTGGCATTTTCTTGTAATTTCTGTTTTTCCATCTAGATCCTTCATATTCAGATTCACAGCAGTGCTGGGGAGGAAAGGGGAAAGAAATTTGAACTCTTTTCTTATTAGCTGGAATTCTTTTTGAAAAAAAAATAGAAAGAAAAGGAAATATTTATTTTAAACAGTGTGTGTTTGGGATGGGGAAGAGTTGTGTTGGGAAGTTCCCCTTCAGCTGCAGTCAGCCAGCGAAGGCAAGGACTTGTTCCCAGAATGGTGGTGAGGGCGCGGCGATGGTGTGTTTGACAAATAAGGACATGAGCAAAGAGCCTTTTGCCACGTTGGCCTGGGCTCAGTTTAAAAGAGAAAGAAAAAAAATTCTGGACGGGAAGAAAAATGAAATCACTGTTTGTCGAAGGGAAATAGATAGATCTGGGAGGGAGGGAGGCAGATTTTTATTATGTTTTTGCCTTCTAGTTTTAAAACAGGCATTCTGCCCAGACTAGGGAAAGAAAAAGTGAAAAACTTGCATGAGCCACCTCTCGAGTGCCCTGTTTGCTCACAGAGAGGACCCTTGCTCATGGCACTGGCAATTTCTTTCTTCTTTGCCAGGCAGGGTTACTTAGGGATGAGGACTGTGTGCAGTGGGGTGGGAAGCCAGTCCCTGTCCTGTGCCCCATCCTCATGAAGGCTGTCTCAGGGGTCATGGGTGCTGCAGGGGTTTCAGGTCTTCACTGGCTTTGATTGAAATGACCAGTTCTTAAAGGAGAGGTTCAGAGCACAACATTTCATGTTGGGGCAGGACCTGAGTGGCACAGAGCAGATATGACCCTCAGTTGCCAACTTGCCAAGGGCCACCTTGGGAAAACATCCATTTAAAAATTGCTACTAATTACCTGCATCCACTAATGGGTCTGATTTTCATTTGATATCTGAGATGCTGCTGCAACACAGGATGGAGAGCATTGTGTTCAGAGAGGAGATTGCTTCTTTCCCAGCAACCCCTGGCTGTTATCAGTGTGTTTTTTATTGACAGGCCACAAAACACTTCACAAAAGAAATACCAGTCTCTTCCTGATAAGGAAGGTAGAGCAGGGAAAGTACTTTGCCTAGGTCACCAAGCTGACCAGTAGCAGGCTAAAAATAGGACCAAGATCTCCTGCATCCCAGAGCAATTCTATCTGCTACATCCCACTGCCTCACTACTGTAAGAACTGCAAATTAATGAGTAAGCACCATCAGTGGCTGAACAAAGGAAGAATTTGGTCTGTATCAAAAGGGATGTGAAGAAATGTTTTTAGGTTGGGGGTTGAAATGTAGAAATAATCAGACTTTGAGCAGTTGCATGAAGTGCAATATAAAATAGTTTAATATTCCAGGTCGTGTTATAACCACCTATGCTTGGAGGGGCTGCAGGGCTGCAGCTACACGGTTAGGGAACTATTCCCACGTTCAGACCTACTGAACTCACTGATCCCATCATCCTGTTGTGTGATATGCAGAAAATCAGCCGAAGGGCTCAGATTCCTGATGCCAAGGAATTTTGGAAAGAGAAAATCTGAAACGCGGTCTGAAGGCGTGTGCGCCTTCCTTCGCGAGGCTGTTCAGAGGAGACCTGTGCTCGCGCCTGGGAGAAGGTGGGAATGTGTTGATAGATGCGGGAAGCGAGAGCCTCATCCTTGTTATGGAGGAGGCTGCCAGGTGTTTCGCTCCCCGCGAGCAGCGGCGGCGGCGCTGCCTCTGTGGGCTGTGACTCACCGGCTGAAGAAACAGCCGGAACAGAGGAATTTTTTTTTTAATTATTATTTTTTTAAGATTTATTTCTTCATTTTGGGCACACATGTTGACAAATAGCTGGGGAGGAAGGAGCATGAAATTTGCCAGTGTGGGGGGGTGCTGCCTTAAAAAGAACATCTCCTGTTTGGAGGCTGGGTTCTGCCCGTGGGTGCTAGGCTTGCTTAAATCACCTGCCTTTTAATGTTTGGAGAAGCTGAAAAGGCCAAAGAGAGCAGAACATGTGTTCAGCCTCCCTCTAGTGCTAGATTTTGTTAATCAT